CTAACCCCCACCCCACCCCACCCCACCCCACCACACCACCACCCAAAAAAAGAAACAAAAAAACAAACAAACAAAAAACCCAAAGATGTCAGCTTGTGAGACATCTCCTTCTGTCAATTTCTTTCCTTGGGAACGTTTTACATATGAATTAGGCTTATCAGCATCTAGCTTGGGATATGTATCTTGAGTCTCAAGGTTTTGGTTGAGTCAGAGAAATCTTAATATGATAAATAGCCTACAGGAATAAAAATATATTGCAAGTAAATATGCTTAGCTTGACAATGAAGAGGCGTTCCCATGTTTCTTATGTTTCCATCCTTAACGCTTGATTTGTCTGATTTTATCCATATTCCTTGTTGAACTAGGGAAAACAGGCAAGTTTCCAGATTCATGATTGTTTCTGCAATTTGTAACATTAGATGTCACCTTTTTATGATGTAACTACCTGCTAGATGACAGAAAATTCCAATTAAATTTTAATTTGTCTGTGGCAGGATTGCAAACTTCCCCTGGTTACTGTTTACCTTCTGATTGTTGTAATTGTTATTTTGTGACTTATTTTTTATTGACCTCCTCTCTTTTTTCCAGCTTAAGGAAGATTTATCAGTGTCAGGCAGCGAAGAAGAAGGAGATGACCCAGTTGATATATATAGTGATGACGATCATTTAAGCAACGGAGATAAGAAAGAAATTATACTTGAAGAGGTATGAATTCAAGACCCTTTTCGGTACCAGATGAGATGTTCAGTGTAATATTATTCCTAGGTATAGTGAAAGAAAGCTATTTGTAAAATGAAAGGCAGTAATTTATAGTAGTTGCTCTAAATTCTTTAAATGATAGTAAGTAAATAAACAAACAAAAAGTAGCCCACTTCCTCCTGATAGTTTGATTTAAAAAAAACTTTTAAGGATAGCAGTTCGCCAAACAGTGTTTTCGAATGAGAATAATGGATTCACTGCCTAATATATGCTGGTTTGGTTGCTTTTCCCTCCCCACAGATGGAGATGGAGGGCTCCGTTGATGAAGACTCAACCAAGCCTGATGAAGAGTACGAAGACCTAGCCATGCGAGATAGCCAAGACAACGGTTACTGGTCCGATGACGAAGAAGACAAACTAAAATTTGAGAAGGGGTCTTCAGAACATGATTCGATGGCGAGTTCTGAAGACACGGAGAAATACCAGCAGAATCTAGATCATTTCCTAAAATTAAAATTAAGTAATCGGTTTTCTGAACCTTCGCGCACTTGCTCACTTCTTTCTGAAACAAAAGGAAGGAATGCAGGGGCAAGGGTAATAACTCGCAGCCAGTCGCAGAGTATTTTGAGCTCATGAAACTGCTGTATATAGTTATAAGGCTCTAATAGCCAGTGGCAGTTATAAAGATGCTTCTTGTTTGTCATTGTAATGGCTAGTTAAACTATTATGCAGGATGTTTTGTTGGATGTGCTCTCATTTATTTGCGTTACCTTTTCTCATGAGGTTTTATGTGCAAATCAAATATACATGGAAGTTGATTGCCTGTCCTCTGTCATCCTCTACAAGCAATAGAATGCCAGAATGTTGGGCGCAGAGTCATGCCCACCGCCGCGGAAGAGCCCTGGCTATTGTTGTCACAAACGCACAAGTCAACCTCTATATTCTTGTTTCTCAAAGGAAACTAGAATAGATAGTGAAATTCTTATTTCTCAAAGGAAACAAGAATCGAAAGTGATATATTTTATAAAAGTGAAATATACACTCTTCCTCTCATCAGTTCTGGGACTGAAATATCGAGGGAACCTACAAGCTATGGCAACTCACAGATAATACAAATACAAACACGAGATTTACGTGATTCGGCTAACTAGCCTACGTCCACGGAAGGGGGTTTTTCACTATGAGGAAAAATACCAAACTTTACAAGTTCTCTCTTCCTCTCTTTCTTTTCTCTCAAAAAACTTCTCTTGAGATTTTTACCCCCACACTATAACTCCTCCACCCCTTCTCTATTTATAGAAGAGCAAGGGGGCAAGGCTGAATATTTTTGGCGGACTGAACGAGCGCGCGCGGGAGAGGAAAACACGCGCGCGGGAGAAATCGGCGGGAACAATTCCCGCGCTCGAACACAAGCTCAAGCGGCAAGACGTGGGCAGGGAAAACGCGCACGAAACCCAAGTGCGTACGGTGCCGAACTCGCCCACGAAATCATCTCCCGCGTGATCATCCCCACGCGCACGAAAACGCCATGAGAAAACCCATGTGGGTGGGCCTCCTATGTCCCCTGCGAACACAATTTTTCTCCACCTCGTACATCATTTGATAAACCTCAAATTTTGGACGAACACCAGAAGAACCCCACGAACTCCACCAGAGAGATATTCAGGTCAAACCAGCTGCGTCACTATACCGCGACTGCCTACGTACCCTCCACCGGGATCAAGCTAACCGTAGTTCTGCAATTATTCTCCAACACAGTCTTCACCTCATCTCCATCTCCGCCCCGAAGGGCTATGCCCTCTTGGGCATATCAACACGGGCTGATATGAAGCAAGTCCAAGCAATGCTGGAACTTGCTACCTGTGACCACCTTGGTTAACATGTCAGCGAGATTCTCATTCGTATGCACCTTCATGAGAGAAATATCTCCTTCCTCTATGACATCCCGCACAAAATAATATCTGACGTCGATATGCTCGGTACGAGCATGGTGAACTTGATTCTTTGCCAAGTGAATCGTACTTTGACTGTCGCACCATAAGTTCACGCTTTCCTGCTCGATCCCCAAATCGTCTAGAAGACCCCACAGCCATAATGCTTCTTTCACTCCCTCCGCCATAGCCATGTACTCGGCCTCTGTTGTAGAAAGTGTCACTGTAGCTTGCAGCATTGATCGCCAACTAACTGGAGCTCCATGTATCTTGAATACATAACCAGTAGTAGATCGTCGTCTATCTAGATCACATGCATAATCTGAGTCCACATACCCGTCGATCTGACATGTATCTCCACCAAAACACAGACCCGTATCCGTGGTACCTTTCAAGTACCTCAGGACCCATTTCACCGCTTCCCAGTGCGTCTTTCCCGGATTCGCCATGAATCTACTGACCACACTAACCGCCTGTGAAATATCAGGGCGTGTACACACCATTGCATACATCAAACTGTCAACTGCACTAGCATAGGGAACACGCTCCATTTTTGCCTTATCTTCCGCTGTAGTGGGAGATTGTTTACCTGAGAGCCTAAAGTGTGGAGCCAATGGGGTCACTACTGACTTTACACTTTGCATCCCAAACCTCGCGATCACCTGCTCTATGTAGCCCTTCTGACTCAAGAACAATCGCCGATTCACCCGCTCTCTTCTAATCTCCATACCCAGTATTTTCCTAGCAGCGCCCATGTCCTTCATCTCGAACTCATTGCTAAGTTGAGATTTCAGCTTATCTATCTCCACCTTGTTCTTCGATGCAATAAGCATGTCATCCACATATAAAAGGAGATAGATATAATCACCTCCACGAAGCTTCCGAATGTAAACACAACAATCATAGTCGCTTCGGGAAAAACCTATGCTTCAGTATGAAGGAGTCAAATCGCTTGTACCACTGTCGCGGAGATTGCTTTAATCCGTAAAGTGACTTCCTCAAGCGACATACATGATTCTCCTTGTCCTCAACCTTGTATCCCTCAGGTTGATGCATATAGATCTCTTCATCCAAGTCTCCGTGCAAGAAGGCCGTCTTGACATCGAGTTGTTCCAGTTCAAGATCACCATGAGCAACAATACTCAATAGCACCCGAATAGAAGTATGTTTTACCACCGGAGAAAATATCTCATTGTAATCTACACCCTCTCTTTGTGCAAACCCCTTAGCCACTAGCCTCGCCTTGTACCTCGTTCCACCGAGCTCTGAAGGATCTTCTTTTCTTTTATACAGCCACTTACAACCTATAGCTTTCTTTCCTACGGGCAATGGGACCACCTCCCATGTTTAGTTCTTCCGGAGAGATTTCATCTCCTCCTCCATCGCAGCCAACCAACTCTCATTATCTTTATCCCGAATAGCTTCCTTGAAGGAGACCGGCTCATCTTCCTCTACCGAGAGTGCGTATTCAACCAAATTAACATGTCCATAGTGCTTCAGGGGTTGATCAGCCCCCAGCTTCTGTACCTGCTTGTATACTCGTCTTGGCCTAGTGGAAGCCAAGCTATCCTCGAGCTGCTGTTGTTGTAGTGCCTGTGTATTCTCCTCTTGAACATGACTAGAACCTGGTTGGTCTTTAGGTTCTATCTCAATAACCTGGGACTTGGAAGTCCCAACAGTCTCAACACCATCATCCTTGGGCACCCTAGCAATCATGGACTTCTCATCAAAGGTAACATCCCTGCTGATCACGAACTTTGAATCTTCTGTACACCAAAGGCGGTAGCCTTTTACGCCCTTTGCATACCCCAAGAAAATTACCTTCTTGGCCCTCGCGTCAAGCTTTTCCTCGTTGACGTGATAGTAGGCGGTACAACCAAAAATCCGGAGCCTCTCATAATTTGTATGCTCCCCTAACCACAGCCGATAGGGTGTATCACCATCCAATGTCGAATGTGGAGATCGATTCACTATATAGCAAGCTGTAGCAATCGACTCTGCCCACCATTCTTTGCCCAAACCAGCATAAGATCGCATACTCACTGCTTTCTTCCGCAGTGTTCGGTTCAGTCTCTCCGCGACCCCATTTTACTGTGGTGTAGACCTGACTTCCCAGTGTCTGGCAATCCCTTTCTGATCACAGAACTCCTTGAAAGCACCGTCTGTATACTCTGTACCGTTATCAGATCTCAGTGTCTTCAATTTCTTGCTCGTCCTGTTCTCAACCATCGTCTTCCACTTCTTGAATGTCTCAAATACCTCATTCTTATGCTTCAGGAAATAAACCCAAGCATATCTTGAATGATCATCTATGAATGAGACAAAATTTTGGAACCACCCTTGGAAGTTGTCGAAGCCAGACCCCAAACATCCGTATGCACATAATCTAGTATCCCTCTGCTCTTGTGCTTGCTCCTCAGAAATTGAACCCTGTGCGCCTTTCCATACACACAGTCCTCACAAAAATCCATGCAAGGCTTCTTCAGATTCTTCAGCAAACCCTCTTTACCAAGTAGATCCAGACCCTTCTCTGACATGTGTCCAAGCCGTCTATGCCATAACCGTGTGTGCTCACATGGGTCTCCACCACTTCCTTCAGCTCCAACTGCTGCATCTCCCGTCACCTTCGTACCCAAGAGAGTATATAGATTACCGTGATGAACACCCATCATCACTGTTAAGGAACCCCGAACAACCCTCTTCACTCCGTTCTCGGTTACAATCTTGCAACCCCCGGAGTCCAAAGCTCCGACTGAGATGAGATTCTTCCGCAAGCCGGGAACGTGTCGTACGTTCGTCAGGGTTCGAACCACTCCATCATGCATCTTGATTTTGATATCACCTAGCCCCACTGTTTTACAAGCATGGTTGTTCCCCATCAATACGGTTCCACCATCAATGTTCCTGTAGGTAGTAAACTACTTCCTGTTTGGACACATGTGGTAAGAGCAACCAGAATCAAGAATCCACTTCCCGGAGGTATCCTCGCCATCTGTGATGACATAACATTCCTTATCGCTCCCATCCTCTGAAGCGTAGCTCGCCTCTTCCTTGCCTTCTCGTCTTTCAGTCTTGTTGTTCTTTTTCCCACCTACTCTCTTGTTAGGATAATCGACCTTGAAATGCCCAACTTCACCGCATTTGAAACACGCTCGTCCCGCAAGGGGTCTCGATTTAGATCTAGACTTTCCTCTCTTGCCTTTTCCTCGCTCATTGCCTCTTCCTCTGGCAAACAGTCCCTGCGCTTATTCTTTGTTACCACCAGTGGCCATATCACTAGTTGCAATTTTTCGAAGGTCATCCGCTAGAAGTGCTGTTCTAGTCTCATCTATCGACAAAGTATCACCCACAAGCATCAGTGTTTGCATCAGGTTCTCATAAGACTTTGGCAGAGATAGAAGTAGTAGAAGCGTCTGCTCATCGTCTTCCACTGTCACCTCAATGTCTTTCAAATCCGATATGATCCTATCGAACTTGTTGATGTACTCCTGAATTGACGAGCCCTCCTCCATCTTGCAAGTATACAATTTGGATTTTAAATAGATCCGGTTCGTTAGACTCTTCGTCATGAAGGTGTTTTCTAACTTCAACCACACGTCCGCAGCCGTTTCCTCCCCGTCTACCAAGAAAACTACATCTCTTTCAAGGCAAAGGATAATCGATGCCCGTGCTTCCAGATCCAGCTCCTCTCAATCCTCATCAGACATATTTTTGTTCTTCTCTTTTCCGGCCAAAGCCTTGTGCAATTTTTGCGAAATCAACGAATTTTTCATCTGCATCCTCCAATAGAAAAAATTATTTTTCCCATTAAATTTTTTAATCTCGTATT